ATATTCATCTTTTTTTTATTAAATCCTATTGAACAATTTTGGAAGGTAATAATTAACGTGTTCATTAATAATTACATTTTATCTTTTAACATTTTATTTGATGTCTTATTTATTTAATTAAAGATGTTCTTTATATAAGTACACGCAATAGATTGTTTTTTGAGTAATACCGAGTAACGACCTCGTTGCCTATGTCGTCATCTTCGTGTTTTGACCGCCAAGCCGAAGGAAAAGAACGCCGCTTACACAATCTTGGCGCATCTACTTTTTTAAATTACGTTGCCCTTCTTCACCGTCTCGGTTCGTGCATATAAGAGGTCGCCTCAAACGAGAAAGAGCGAGTGAAAACGAGCGACAAAGGGTGCTAGAAGATATGGAGGATGTCGTGAAAAAGAGAAGGAGAGTGAGCGAGAGGGAATACGAGCGTGCAAACAGAAGATAAAGAGAGATGACGAAAATAAGCAAGCTGCAGAGAGAGACTTGGCACTCTCTTCGTCGTGCTGCTTAAAATTCATAAGGCGCTCTGTTTACTTACTAAAGATACGCGGCTTGCCCCCGTCGCACCCCAATCCCGTACGCCTCGGCATAGTGGCCCGCGCCACCCCCGCGCTTTGGCGACGCCACGCGAGCGCCGTGCTTTATCGCGGAAAATAAAATTATTGGTTGCACTTTTCTCCACGCAAGCGGCTAGGGTACGAGCAAGTTCGCGTCGTTCCTTTTTGTCGTCATCCACCGAGAGAATCTCAAGGCGCGAATTTTTCCGCGACGTTTAAACCAAAGATGGTTTGAAACGCTGCTTCTCGTCGGATATATTCGCCAAGCTGAAAAGAATCTCATATATGCTCACATTAAGATGAAGAATAAAATAACAATTTTAATCCTACCGTTTTTTATTGTTAATAAAAATAATCGGTAGGCAAGAAGTCTTCCTCAAATTTTTTCAAGAAAAGAAATTTGAGATTGATAGAAACTCAATCATGATTACAAAATTTAAAACAGTATGTCAATCGTTAATATGATTTTAAAAATAGTTATCATGCTGTTTAATGCAAGTTTCTTCAAAATTATAAAATTAAAAATTTTGAATGTTTATCTACGTATTAGCTATAATGCTTTACAATCGTGGGTCGAGAGCGCGAATTAATGAGAAAAAACAATCAAAATGTTAACCCCAATTTTTTTCCTTAGCTAGCATAACTCATTTATTACTTTTCACCCTCGTTTCGACCACGTTCCACGAAAAATCCGAAGGTCTGTTAATTAGCACGAGGGTGAGATTATGAACGCTGGCTTCGATCGGCGTCAGCGGCGTGCGCCGACAGTAAATCAGCTGCCGCCGCGGGCGACCTTGCGGGCAAA